GTGCAGGTGGAAAGACTCGTGTGCAGGTGGAGAGGCACAGGTGCAGGTGGAGAGGCATGGTGGAGAGACTCATGTGCAGGTGGAGAGGCTCATGTGCAGGTGGAGAGGCTCATGTGCAGGTGGAAAGACTCAGGTGCAGGTGGAGAGGCACAGGTGCAGGTGGAGAGGCACAGGTGCAGGTGTAGAGGCTCAGGTGCAGGTGGAGAGGCTCGGGTGCAGGTGGAGAGCCACAGGTGCAGGTGAAAGAGAATCAGATGTGGGTTGGAGCTGGAAGGCTAGTTCTGTATTCACTGTACACCTCTGTTGCAATCACACTCTCTATGGGGTGATCAGACGTGTGTTTCTCCAGTTCTCTGTCACTTTAGACAAGCACCAATGTGGGTAGGGTTAGCACTTCTTTCCACCTGGGTGAATGCTTGCCATTCGATGTCAGCTTAGTTCCCAGGGACCTTGTTTAATGGCCAGTTCTCTGGCAAGTTCTATGTGAGTTGCATCAACTACATTTAGTACTCCTTAGCTATGACTCCCCACATAGACTCACAAGGAATATGAGCTTGGGGTCAAATCTCCAAGTCATGGCACAATGACCTGACCTGGTGAGGGTGGGAGACAGCCCCTGGCCGGTGGTACTGAAGGCTTCCTACTTATTTCTGGAACTACTTGAACAGTCCCAGGCTTCATTGTTGCAAACGCCCTGGATTCCATTTCCTTTCAAAAGCCCAGCTAAGTTAAGCTCCTCCAATTCAGGGCAGCAATTGTGAACCCTGGAACATTACTCACCTAAAGCAGACTCGGGAGCTCTTCAAAACCATTATGGTTATATGTCTACTGTAGATTGCCCCACCCAGAAGGGATCTCCACTTCTGGGGAGCCACTTTCACTTCTCCGTGACATCTGGCTGACAGCAGCCCCAGAGAAATGTCAGAGGGCTCAGGGACATCACATCTTGCATGAAAGCCCAGCTCCACAGCCTGCCCAGCACAGGTTGCTGGCTGAGCCCACTTTGTCATTTGAAACGGTGACAATGACTGTCACCACAGCATGCCAGGCTTGTTCCTGTACTCATCCTTTATTCCTCACAGAGGAAAATTACTATTGTTAAGCCCATTTTGCAGGTGAGAGAGCTGAGCCACAGAAAGGCTCATTAGCTGGTTCACCATCTCATGGAAGTTCATGGCAAAGCTCAGCTTGACCCCAAGGTCTGTCTACATGGAGAGTGGTCACTTGAGGCCTTCCTCCACTTGGGGACATCTGCCTGTCAGACAGACAGCAAGAAAGGTTTAACGGTATTTGGCCATGTAGTGTGCCTAACAAAGCCAATTATGTCCTCCATGTTACATCTGGCGTGGAGCTTGGGGCCATGCAGCCCCTTGTCTCTAGCACTAAGTAGGGTATTCAATAAAAGTCTGTGATTTTTGTGGACTGGACTGGCTGGAATGGTAGTTGTTGAGAAACGTTAAGCATCCCTTACCTTTGTATAGTGGGGAGCAAGTGCGTATGACTTGGGCAGACACAGCCGTGGCTCTGAAACTGTGTGAAATAGGCAAGGCAGGGCGAGTAAGACAGAGCCTTCGCATCTCTGCATGCTGAATCCAGCCAGACCACTGGGTGTGACTAGCCTGCAGTACCAGCTTTCACTGAGAGATGGTGCCCTTCCCCAACAGTTGTAATTTGCTGGCACTCGCCCCAAACCGGAGGCACCAATGAAGGCCATGTATTAACCAGAGGAACAACTCCAATTGACTTCTTGAGCCAGCAAGCCTCACACCAAGCACTCAGGCCAGGATCATCTTGGCTGTTGTTGAATTTTTCTCCGCAAATAGGGACATAAAACAGAAAGGCGAGCCCTAGGAAGGTGTCACATCCCTCTTGACAGATATCTGCAAGTCTCCCGTTGTCCTGACATCTCTTTCAACCCCTCTTCCAGGGAGTCTCTAATCGACCAGGTGGGAAAGAGTGCAGTGGGAGCTGGGGAATAGGATGTCTTTCTTTAACCCGGGCTAGGACAACTTGGAGGAATGCCCACGGGCACTGGCTTTCCTCGGCTTCTTAGAAGGCTGCTGCAAAGTCAAAAGCACTATTAAGGTGTGCCGGCTGTGCTGTTGTACTGAGACTTACAAGTCTTGGCACACATGCTGCTAAAGCTCGCCCGGCCGCTGAGCTGGATTCCTGAGAGGGACCCCTGCCCATCTAGGCCCACAGCACAAACGCCCGCCATCCTGGGTGTGGTCCCTCTAGTGCCTGCTGAGCCCTAAGCTTCCAGCAGCTCCTGATGGTAGGTGGGCGCACTCTCCTGCACCCCCTACTGTGCACAGCGGGCAAACCAACCCCCTCTCTGTTTAAACCTGCTCCCAAAAGCCCAGGGAGGTCCCCGCTAGAAATTCCAACTGTCCCTTCCTTCAGAGATAGTTGCCCAAGGTTCCCGGGAGTGTCTTTCACTTTGTAGCTACCTCTTTACTCCTGCGCTGGCACCGGAGACCTCACCCGAGCTTCTCTTCCCCTCTGGGGCTCAGGGGAAGCCCCAAACTGACCGGGACTCAATCCAACTGGGAAGACAGACCCCAGCAGTAAGGGTGGTGTGGCCCATCCTCAGGGGGACCCTTAGCCACAAGCAGGCCTGAGCGAAACCGGGCCTCAACGAGACAGGGTCGTGAGTGTGGCCGAGAGAGTTGAGGAGGGAGAACAGTGGACCGGTGCCATGCGAGATTTGGGGGCTTTTATTTTTTTACGGTTTAGGGCAGCGTTTTGTCTGTCCTCCTGAGTGACCCTAACTCTTCGGCCGACGGGTTTGCAGACCTCGCTGCCTGCAGCCAGGGGGCGGCGGGGAGCCGGAGCTCGGAGAAAAAAATCCACCCATTTCCTGGGCAGATTGCGTCGGCCGCCGCCCGGCCGTGTCCCCGCCTCCCAGCCGCGGCCCCCGCGCACAGCCCGCGCCGCG